GGGGGGGGGGGGGGGGAGTAGTGTACTGTGGATAACAAAAGGGAAAAAGAGGAAAGAACAAGAGCGCAAAATGAATATAGGGAAAGGGAAAAAATAAAGTTTAACCTGCCCATGCACGTCACTTGCTAAACCAGTTGCCAAAGGTTCTGCCTTGATTATCACATCCGCGAGGTACTCCAGTTGCAAGATCAATGGCAGCGTATTTGCACTGGAATAGATATCCTCATGATTAAGAGTAACAAGGGAACAGCCCTGGATGAAAAGAATATTAAGAACGTCCCCCCATACAACTTTTTTTTTATTTTTATAAGTTGTAGCTCGCATTATTGTATAAATTAGACACGAAGTAAAAGTGGATACAGTTGCTCACACATTTTTCTTTCAAAGTGTAGCAGTAGTGCAGAAAATCCAACACGTGATTTGATGAACCATTAGCTGCCACTTCCATAAGGGAGACGTCATCAATCATAATTGTAATGGTTCTACTGCCTTCAAGTGACGAATATATCTCTACTGCTTTCTCAATTTCCCCGTACAATGTAAGCAATCCATCTTCTTTTGCTTCCCCTCCATTTCTGTCTGATTATGAATTGAGTGCATCAAACTAAGAGGGGCAAATAAAGATAGACAGTTCAGTAGATTAAGATCATTCACATCAAGAACAGATTGTTTCGACACAAAAAAGTAGGGCAGTGTATATGTGACGTTATAATGAACTCTTCTGAGTGCAATTTAGAACCACTTTTTTCTATTTATTCCATAGAGATGCCTGAGTTCCCAAATTCCTAAGAATCAAGTTTTCAAAATGGACAAGCAGCACCAAAACATTTTAAAAACTAAATCACTTGAATTTAGGTCCTTTTTTTATAATCACTTGAACTTAGGTCCTTTGATCTCCTCTTTAATGGTACCTAAAATTCTCGTTAAACGTATACACAAAAAACCTACTGTCAAGACATGGGCAAATCAAGATTAGAAGAAAATTGCAAACAATAATTTCATTAAACTTAATCTATGCTGCTTGACATCTTCACCTGGACACTCCAGCATAAGCATGTCAAGAAATAAGAACCTCTGATTCTTCCTCTGCACAGCTAAGTTGCAACCCTGTTCAGGGAAGAGGAAAAAGGACCGAGATGCTTTACAAGTATGCAGGATTAAATATCCATTAAAATTACTGAAATGAAAAACAAGAACTTGGAATTTTAAAAACTCCGGAACATATATCCTCCAGTAAAGGATGATGCTAGATGTCAAGCAAATTTGAGTACAGCCCCAGTCCATTAGGAAGTTTGCTTAATTAAATTTAGCTGCACACAACTGTTGCTGAGACAAAACATGGAAGAACTGAGAACCGAAACCAGTACGACTATTTTACATGAATTGACAACAGATTGTGCATTGTTTGATAGATCAATAGAGGAAATGATAAATATTCTCAGAATTCATAGTACCAGCTAATAGACACTCCAACAAATTTGAAAATTTCCTCAAGCTTTACATAAATGAAATGATAAATATTCTCAGAATTCATTGTACCAGCTAATAGACACTCCAACAAATTTGAAAATTTCCTCAAGCTTTACATAAATGAAATGATAAATATTCTCAGAATTCATTGTACCAGCTAATAGACACTCCAACAAATTTGAAAATTTCCTCAAGCTTTTACTGAAAACATTCATTTTCACTAGGAGGATGAAAGGGTAAACTTTACAGAAATAGCAATCTCGAATGGACCTTGGACGATTACGGCATTCTTACAAGACAAAGCTCAAACAAGTTCCCGGAAATGCAGCAGCTTAACATTTATGCCTAAAAGGTAGGAAACAACATAAACCCAGACCGTACCTATAAGCTTTCTTCTATCATCATATTTGCCATATCAAAGTTCAGTTCTTTCTAGCCAATTCTCAAACCACCAGCAAAGGCATCTAGAATAAAATAACAACTAGCAATGTGCATGTTCTCTGCATTGGAATTTGAGATCAACAAATTTTACAATTAATATTATTTGGACTCTCAGTGTTTCCCTTTTTTTTTTTTGGGTCCTTAGAACTATGCCTGTTAACTTCCCTTCGTGTGTTGCCGCCCTATCCGTGTGATCCTCTTCATTTGGTGCATCTACTGGTATTGTGTCTTAAATGTCAACAACAATTTGATAAAAATGACAAGTCTGTGCACATATCTCTTTAATCTCCAACCTCATCTATGGAAACCCCTTCTCACACTTAAAAAACCGCATTTCAAGTCCACGTGAATTCAAAAATCCGGTTAGAGGTATGAAAGGATGTTAGAGATATATAAAATCCAGCATAGAGTATATAAGACCATCCGCAGGAATTTATCTAGGGCTATTATACCCATTGTTTTTCACCACCACCCATAAAAACATCACACTTGCTGTTGCTAAACTCCATCACTGAGGTTCCAACTTCCAAACACATCAAGTACCAAATTCTAATTCCATAACTCCTCTTCCTAAAATGATTTTGAAAAGCTGCCTCCGAAACATAACAGAGTAATACACACATCTCATTTTAATTCTACTCTTTTTTTTATAAACGTATAGGAGAGGAAAAACAAAAAAGAGTAAACTAGACTCTCTACAAATTAGACATAGACCTACAATATGGAAAACGGTTACCCAACTCTCTGAATGCAGCAAAGTATGTTAATTTACAATAATTAAGTGATAAATTGAGGTAAAAATATAAATTAATTATCCGCGTAAACCGGTAAGTATTTTCTCATACAAATAAATAAACACAACCATGCCATGGGGAGAGAGAGAGAGACTGACCATTTTGCGGAGAATGCGTTCATAGTGAGAGAAAGGGTGGGCAAAGGCGATGAAAACGACGACGTCGGAAGAGTCAGGTTGTAGAGAGCGCTTAAGGAAATGGTGGAGCACGAAAGCGGCGCTGGTCTCAACACAGTCCTCCACCACCACCACTCGCCCGCGTTTTTGGATCTTTACACTGCCGATGCCATCCTCCACTAGCGCTTCCTCCAGCAAGTTCGGACGCGAATTATCCATGCCTTGAATCACAATCCCAGAGGACCCAAATCAAATCAAGGGTTTTTTTAGGGTGTTCGTCTCAGTGTATGTTTTGGTTGGTTGAAATATTTTTTAAAATATTTTTCTTAGGCCTTTTTACTTTTACAAAACTCACGTTTAACCTTTCCACTCCCATCCTCTCATGACTCAATTGTACGTGACCGACACACTATGTGACTCGAACCAACCAAATCATATGATGCAAGGCCGGCTCTATGTAGTAAGGCTTGTGCCATTTAAAAAAAATAATATTTAGTACTTTTAATACAAAAATAAACTTCAAATAAAAATATATCTTATAACTTTATTTTTAAAATTTAGGACTGATATTAAACTTTGGCTTTAGGCCCCGTATATACTTCAGCTGTCCCTAATATTAATATGATACACCCAAACCATATATATGAAAACCAATTTAATTTCGGATGCTCTTTGAAAGTCATATATATTTTAAAGTTAAATGATGGAATATTTTTCCAATGCAACAATACATGTAGCATCTCATAATCATAATAATGAGACTAAGTAAAAATATCTTTTTTATGTATGTCGTGCACAATCCCATTACTACAACTCTTCACAACTATCTATGGAGCCTCTATACCAAAGAATAGAACTAAATACTTGGGCTAACAGTGACTAACATAAATTAAGAAAATAACATGATAACTACTACAAAATAGGAGTGGTGCCTCACCATATACCTCGGAAAGAGAGTCATCTTAACCCTGTTCACATGCCACGTATCATACTTCATCCTGAAACATGTCAAGTAAGTGGAGCCCCTTTAGGCTGAGTACACCACAACACTCAATAAGTGTCATAATTTCTCTCTGACTCAAGTTCCTGGGATAAAATTATACGAAAAAAACTATGCAATCAATATTTGATATAAAATGATAAACAATTATATAAATCATGCTTATTACCATTTTAAACGAAAAGGCAAATAAAATGTAAACCATGATATAAGTTTTTAAAAAAATTATATCAATCCAAGATTTTAATAAAAATCACATAAACTATTTCATCTCTTTTGGCTCCTTAGACCTAAACTAAGAAAATTGTTATCTTTTATTAGGAGTATTACCGACATTGACATAATAAACAACTACTAGGTGATTAACCTAGCAACAAGTATTTAACCCAACTTGTCTGGGCGACTTTCCGTAGTGTCGTACGTGTTGACTTAACCCCATTACTTTAAGTAATGATCATTTGCCCGCACAATAGGAGACTTATCCCATAAACCTTGGCTTAGCCTTGGAATATGTACCTACACCAACACATGTGGTTCCGTGGTAACGAACTCAACATTTGAACCAATCTTGATGGTCACCACTAGTAACTCCTAAAATATTTAACATATCAAAAATAGATTCATAGCCTAATCGCCTCAAAGGAACTACTTTTCATCCAAATCATAATTTTCATTGCCAATCCAAACCATTTGATCAAAATCAAATGGATAACATTTTTCATGTTAATGTCTTTAGCAATATAACATCAATCATTTAAAGATACAACAAATGGCACTTCATTATTTAAATTTCAAAAGACGTGTTTTTTTTTCTTTATGAAAACACATCTTCAACACTCAAAACATATGATACTCTTATCAACATATAAGTTTAATAAAAAGCATAATATTTTTCTTAAGTATCATTTTGCTAACAACTTCTGAAAACAAGAATTTATAAAATCACATGACAATTCATAAGCGACATAAAATTAGAAACATATGGTGACATCCTTTCCACTTGTCCCTACAATTACGGATGCATTTACAAATATTATCATGTATCAACTCAAAATATTTTTTAGAGAGAATCCATCAAGAAGGGTAAGTCTTAATCAACTTACATCAAACTTCCAGCTCCAAATAATACTACAATGCTCCAGTTGATTAAAATTCTCAAATGTGGCCAACAATTCGACATCTACCAATACATATGCCAACTAAATCAAAATAAACCCGAATTTTTTTATAAATATTCATTTAGGCTTCACAAGTCGGTAACGAGTCTTCAACCATCCCAAATTATCCAATAGGTTCACCCATTAGCCTATTCAATTTTATTTTTGTCATTTAATATTCATTTGGAGCCATTAATGATATGTACTACGTTAATTACCCAACATCATCAAGTCACCATTCATTATCATCTCCAACAAAATCCTAAGTTCAAGAACACCCATTTCGAGAACTAGTGTTGCTTTTTATCCAAATGATGATTCCCACTTCAATTCGTTCATCAATTAAGTTATCAATTCTATTCGAATTATTAGAAACTCAAAACAATTCTATTTATATCAATTCAGTACTATTTATCTTCTTTTTTGCCCAAACTATCATTTTCAAGACCCACTCTTAGGGTTCTGTCACGACCCAAAATCCAACTAGTCGTGATGGAACCTAACCCAACCGCTGGTAAGCCAGTTAACCATAAACCAGTACAAATGATTTTTATTAAGAGAAGAAATGACAATACAACTGAACTATCATATAAAGAATTCCCAAGGACTCCTAGTACAAATCATGAGCTTCTAAGATTTAGATTTTTACAAGACTGAATTGAAATAATTACAACATCTGTTCGAAATATAAATGAACATAATTCGAATCTAATGCTACTAAGGACAAGTGATAGCCATATCTGGAATGCAGGTACATCTTCCGATCCAGCTCCCGCCATATGCATCAATATCAACATCCAAGATCTACACGCAAGGTGCAGAATTGTAGTATGAGTACAACCGACCTCATGTACTCAATAAGTAATAAACCTAACCTTAAGTTAAAAGTAGTGACGAGCTGGTACAAGGGTCAGAGTCCAACTCCAACAACCAACAACAGTTCATAATAGTATAATAAAGATGGTACAAGAAATAACTCGGCTTGTTTACAATTACGGAAAGTAGTCATGCTTTTCAAGTATAATAGTAGATCCCAAATCTTTCACCGAAAACCTCAAAAATATATAAGTAAGTTTGAAAACTGTGATTCTTCCCAAAAACCTTTCAACAATAAATAAAATGTTTCATTTTTCAGATAGTATGAGAGAAATACATCTCTATGACTATATGTCAATATACAGGTGGAATCATGAATGTCACCAAAAATCGGGTAGCAGAAGAAAATGCATCTTTATGCATGTATCTCATGTACGCATGTCAAATGCAATGCATATCAGTGATGAACTCATGTACTCACATTCTTAGAGTACTCAACCTCACCATATCATACTTTTCACTCATCACGCTCAATCACTCAACACACTCAGTCACTCAGTACTGAACAGGTAGATCCAACCTAGGCAGATCCAGCCCAAATATAAATGTATAGGACAACTTCATGCATTCCGAAATATGAATATATAGGGCAACTCCCTTCCCAGGGAACACCACCCCAAATGTAAATATATAGGGCAACTCCATGCCCAAGGAACTCCATCCCAATATAATATCCACTGCGCTCACTGTAAGGGTACAGACTCCGGAGGGGCTCCTTCAGCCCAAGCGCTATAATAAGCTAGATGCAGGCATAAGTAAATAAAAATATGTTGCCGCGTGTAGCCCGATCCCCTTAATTATCACTCACAATCAGGCCCTTGGCTTCACTCAATCATTAATCTCTCCAGTCTCTCGGGCTCACAATGTCATAATCAGCCCGTCATGATGATATGTTGTATCAATGGATGGTAATAGAGACTGAGATATGATATGCAAATGATAGATGTGACTGAGTTCATAATTGTAAATTTAAACAAGCAATTCAACAGTGATACGACCTCTATGGGTCCCAAAAATATCGGCACATGATCTAAGCATGATTTCTAGCATCAATTACAGCTCAAGTGCTCTAACACATAGAGTACAGTAAAAAATATTCAGATAAAATAGCTACACAGTTCCATAGAATTGACTAAATCACAATTCACATAGTGCACACCCACACGCCCATCACCTAGCATGCGCGTCATCTCAACAACAATCATATAACACATAATTTGAGGTTTCATACCCTTAGCACCAAGTTTAGAAGTGTTACTTACCTCGAACAATCCAAATCATAATACTGAGCAAGCCAAACGATACTCCAAAAATGCCATCACACACGTACTGACCTCCGAACGGCTCGAAACTAACCAAAAGCAACTCAAATACATCAAATAATTCCAAAGAAAACAAACCTAATCGATAAAGGTTGTCATACCTCCTTTTTCCACCCCCGGAGGGGTATAAGGGAGTTTTTTCCAATTTAAGTGACAATCGAAATGGGATTAATTTATTTATTCAAAGTCGCCACTTGGGATAATTTATGGTGTCCCAAGTCATCGCTTTAGAATCCCGAATCGAGGAAAGTTTGACTCTTATTTGTGGTCTGCGAAACATAGAAATCCGGGTAAGGAATTCTGTTAACTCGGGAGAAGTGTTAGGCATTCCCGGGTTCCATGGTTCTAGTACGGTCGCTCAACTATTATAATTGGCCTAATTATCTGATTAATTACACATTTTAAACCTACATGCATTTTTTACTTTAAAACCGCCTTTATTTATTTAAGGAATTATTTCAAGGTTATTTAAAACACATCGCAAGCCACGCTACATGAAATGCACCCGTGATTCATGACACGTTCTATTTAACCTTGTTGGAAATTAGAACCGGGTCACATGAAATGTACACCTAGATTTTAATAATAACCGCGATAATTATCTAATTAACACGCCTAAAGTAAACTACGAAGTTCATTTTTAACATCTAAATTATAAAATTATATGAGGGCCATAGACTACGTGATCAGATGGCATGCCTCACTTATTTAAGAAATTATGCTAAAGACAACGAATTGAAGGGGCTCAAATTTAAACTGGTTCTAAGTTGTGATGCGAATACCAATTATAGATACATTCNCACTACTCGAAGTAAGCTGGTTTTGGAAAATATACATCGAGGGAGGCTGGGCTCGAGATTGAGCCCGAAGATGGAAAATGAGCAATCAAACAAAATGCCTTAGGTTAGAACTTGACCAGGCTGCCTCGCCTGGACCAATATCAAGCCCAGTTGAGGTTCCTCTTCCTCTGAAT